TGGTAAGATGCCCCTGTTGGTGTAGCTGTCTCCCTTGGCCAACACTAGCCTTGGCCAGCCAGCCTGCTCCTTGAAACCCTAACAGTTGCTCCGTTCCGAACGAATCTCCACAGCCAGCAAACATGAGAGGGACAGATCCTCGCATCTCAGCTAAAGGTCACTTGCTCAGAGTCAGGACCCAAAGCAGGCATGTTATGACAGGGACACAGAGAAGCACAATAACCTCATGGCCTTCCACATGTTCTCAGAGACTTGCCTCCTCCTGGGCTTTGGTTCCACTTCTGGTGTTCAAAGATTTTGGCAAAAGTCCCTACCTAACAAGAAACCCTAGATGCTAAGTCCATTTGTTGGAAGGCGCAAACTGCCTCACCAAGGATGTTGGGGGACTCACAGGCAAGCAGGTCCCTGTCTGAGGAATCGTGAATGGAGCCATTTTACTGGCGCCTCGGACTTGTCCTGAAATCCCAACATCCTGCTGATGTCACCTTGTTTTGAGTCAAAAGAGAGCAGATCGTGTAGACCTGAATTTTCCTACATTCACAGTCTGTGCTGGCTTGGGTTCCCGCATGATTTTGCACCAGAAAAACATTAAGAAAAAAACGATCGGTTCTCCCCCCTTCCTCCCCCACCTCATGCCAGTAGAGAATTCCTTCTAGATGAAAACTGTGTGCGCAGGCAGGTACATGTGCACACGCGTGTGCACACACACACAGCACGCAAGTCACAGATACTCGGTTAGAATTTGGCAGGTGGCCAAATGCTTCTTTTTAAAATGACTGAGCCACAGTTGGTTAAGCGACTGCCTTCGGCTCAGGTCATGATCCTGGAGTCCCGGGATCGAGTCCCGCATCGGGCTCCCTGCTCGGCAGGGAGTCTGCTTCTCCCGCTGACCCTCCCCCCTCTCATGCTCTCTCTATCTCATTCTCTCTCAAATAAATGAATAAAATCTTTTAAAAAAATAAATAAAAATAAAATAAAATAAAATGACTGAGCCATTTGCAAGAGATTCCTCAAAGACAACGCCACAACACTCCGGGTAAACAATGTCGTGCTCACTTGAATCACCACGAAACCATGGGCTCCTTGAGGGCAAGGGTTCTGTCATGATTTGGGGACCCCTGCCACCCGGCCCTGTGTCCACACACGATAGTCCTCCAAAAAAAATGTGAATGAATTAAAATCGCTCCCTTAGGGCGCCTGGGTGGCTCAGATGGTTAAGCGTCTGCCTTCAGCTCAGGTCATGATCCCAGGGTCCTGGGATCGAGTCCCGCATTGGGCTCCCTGCTCCTTGGGAGCCTGCTTCTCTCTCTCTCTCTCTCTGTCTCTCATGAATAAATGAATAAAATCTTTAAAAAAGAAAATCGCTCCCTTATTCTGGAGACCATCTCTAGCTACAAGGAAAGGCCTCCTTCATCTCCTAAATTTCTCTAGTGGCATTTCCCAGCCCCCACCCCGCCCCCAAGGCCCAAGTCACATGCCTACATCCAGGAAAATGAAAAGGGCAAATTCCAAAACAACAGTGGAATGCCATGTGGCTAGTTAGCGTCAAAGCCAACTTCTTATCCAGCACTGCTATTCCACACCAACTTGCTTTTCTTTACGGTGGTTTTACCGTAAATTAAAAGCACAGTGCGAAATAGAAGTTTACAAGGCACCTTTTTTTTTTTTTAAAGATTTTATTTATTTATTTATTTGAGAGAGAGAGAGAGAGAGAGAAACAGCATGAGAGGGGAGAGGGTCAGAGGGAGAAGCAGGCTCCCCGCTGAGCCGGGAGCCCGATGTGGGACTTGATCCTGGGACTCCGGGACCATGACCTGAGCCGAAGGCAGTCGCTTAACCAACTAAGCCACCCAGGCGCCCTACAAGGCACCTTTAAGAAATGGATTTTAGCGGGGATGCGGAGAAAGGGGAACCCTCCTACACTGTTGGTGGGAATGCAAGCTGGTGCAGCCACTCTGGAAAACAGTATGGAGGTTCCTCAAAAAGCTGAAAATAGAGCTACCCTATGACCCAGCAATTGCACTACTGGGTATTTACCCCAAAGATACAAAAGTAGGGATCCGAAAGGGTACGTGCACCCCAATGTTTATAGCAGCAATGTCCACAATAGCCAAACTGTGGAAAGAGCCAAGATGTCCATCGACAGATGATGGATAAAGAAGAGGTGGTATATATATACAATGGAATATTATGCAGCCATCAAAAGGAATGAGATCTTGCCATTTGCAACGACGTGGATGGAACTGGAGGGTATTATGTTGAGTGAAATAAGTCAAACAGAGAAAGACATGTATCATATGATCTCACTGATATGAGGAATTCTTAATTGCAGGAAACTAACTGAGGGTTGCTGGAGTGGGGGGTGGGGTGGGAGGGATGGGGTGACTGGGTGATAGACACTGGGGAGGGTATGTGCTCTGGTAAGCGCTGTGAATTGTGCAAGACTGTTGAATCTCAGATCTGTACCTCTGAAACAAATAATGCAATATATGTTAAGAAAAAAAAAGAAGAAGGTAGCAGGAGGGGAAGAATGAAGCAGGGGAAATCGGAGGGGTAGACGAACCATGAGAGACGATGGACTCTGAAAAACAAACTGAGGGTTCTAGAGGGGAGGGGGGTGGGAGGATGGGTTAGCCTGGTGGTGGGTATTGAGGAGGGCACATTCTGCATGGAGCACTGGGTGTTATGCACAAACAATGAATCATGGAACACTTCATCTAAAACTAATGATGTAATGTATGGGGATTAACATAAGAATAAAAAAATAAATTAAAAAAAATAAACTAGCTAATTGGATTTTGGTACTTTGTATTTCTGACCTAGAACACGATATTGTATATGTGAAAACCAACGTGTCCATTTATATCATTTATTGTGTTAACCTACTCAATTAAAATAGTTAATTCATTAAAAATGCTAAAATAAAAAAAAAAGAAATGGATTTTAACTAATGATGTAATGTATGGTGATTAACATAACATAATAAAAAAAAAAGAAAGAAAGAAATGGATTTTATTTTCAGGCAAGCTGTGATCTGATCAGCACCGCACCCATGCTTTTCTATGGGATCCCCTGACAGGTGTGAATGTCCACTGTGTGGGACCAACTGAACCAAACGCGGGCTCCTTGGCGGCTTCTCCATTGTTGCTCTAGCCCCTGTTGCAAGAAGCCACCTGCAATATCCTAGAAGAGTACCTAGCGCTTGGGAGCCATTCCGTTAAGTATCTCTCAACTCCAACAGAACGAGTAAATGTATAAATGAATGAACAACGCGCTGGCATTTTGTGCGCTATTGCTCGAAGCTCCAGCCCAGGTGAGCCTCGGAGGCAGAGTCCCACGAGACGAGGCAGTGGTTATAAACTGTTGGAATACCAGCCTTCCAAGCCAGAATCAGGGCCTACCCACCGCTTCCCTTTCGTTTACCCGGTTTCAGAATGTAGACTCTGTCACTTCACCTCCTCACCTCCTAGGAGCAGTTGTGAATGACTTAATACTCTTGGCTGCGTGTGACCGGAACTCAACTGGAATTTTCTTCTACAGAAAGGGTCCTTGTGTGACGCTGTATCCTTCTCAACAAGTTCACGGTTTCGACAGGCACCCTCCCCACACAGCTAGTCTGCCTGGCCCCCAGCTCAGGGATGCTCATGCCTCGCCGTGTTACTAGCCAGTTCTACAAACTGCACCTTTCCTGGTCGGTTTCCCTAAATCCTGCCTGGACCATGATAAAGAGCCCCTTTATTATCCTACACACTCATCTAGTGTGGGCATGCCATCTCGTTCCTGCTGGGACCCGGACCCACATATCCACCCTGGTCTCCTTTCTGACCCAAAGTAAACAAGCAAAAAGTCCCTGGGAGGTGTTTCTAACCATGGTTTCCTTGCATATATAAAATCAATAAATATATATGAAATCATAAAATCGTATGAATAATATAACTAACCTCCATCTTGTCCAACGACAAGCACCTAGATAATTTCCCCCAACCTCAAAAGTTAGGATGAGGATATGCAAGATTTTAATAAATAAGAATCTCATTGTAAGCTGGTAAGCTATCCATTTCTTGCTAGAACCATCGTCCGCCACCTTGGCTGCATAACAGAAGAGTATTATGCCTGGAGTACTTTTATAGTAATCCCTGGGCCCATCCCCCCAATTCTGAATTAATTAGTCTGGAGTGGATCCCAGACACAGGCAATTTTTTTAAAGCTTCCCAAGTGGTTCTAAAGGGCGTCTAGGGTTGCAAACCACCTTTCTTGTCAGCATCCAGCTTCTCCTTCCCAGGGGTGAGAAATCTCCGCTTCGGCCATAATGAGGTTGCAAAGGTGAAGAAAAAACTGCATGGACGACTGGAGGAAAAGATACCGAGGAAAGGATTTCAAAAATATTTTCTCTCTTCAACATAAATTTGTTGAATGAATAAAATGAATGAAATTACTATAGCACTAAGATCACAGTGAAAACCCCAGAGCTCGGAGCCCTGTTTTAGGGTCAACCCCGGCTGCCCACAAAAGTCAGTGAGGAGATTCGGAAGTGTTCATGTTAGTGTCTGCCAAGGGAGACAGGTACACCAATAGGGGCATCTTATGATCGTTCAACCCCAGACCAATCGTGTCAGAATCTCTGAGGTAGGGCCCAGGTGACAAGACTTTTTTTAAATCCCCCAGGTGAGTCTAATGTGGCCTGAGTTAAAGACCATTAGTCTAAATAAGGCTATTGCTTTAAATGCCTTAAAAATTACATCATAGAGGGCGCCTGGGTGGCTCAGATGGTTAAGCGTCTGCCTTCGGCTCAGGTCATGATCTCAGGGTCCTGGGATCGAGCCCCGTGTCAGGCTTCCTGCTCAGTGCAGAGCCTGCTTCTCCCTCTGCCACTCCCTCTGCTTGTGCTCTTCTGTCTATCTCTCTGTCAAATAAATAAACAAAATCTTAAAAAAAAAAAAAAAGAAAAAAAGATTAAAAAAATTACATCATAGATTTGCCATTCTTTTTTTTTAAGATTTTATTTATTTATTTAGAGAAAGAGAGAGAGCACACAGGCATGGGGAGGGGGAGAGGGAGACTCTCAAGCCGACCCCATGCTGAGCGCAGAGCCCAACATGCGACCCAACCTCACAACCCTGAGATTATGACCTGAGCTGAAATCAAGAGTCAGATGCTCAGCTGACTGAGCCACCCAGGTGCCCCGATTTGTCCATTCTTTTAACACAAGAAGAAATTCAAATTTTTTCAGAGACCAGAACACCTTGAAATCTTGTTTAAAGGTGCTTAGGTGGTATTGTTGGTAAATCCAGCTAAGAATTTCAGTTGCAAGGTGGCCAGCACGGTGGGCTGCACAAAAAAACAGTAAGTTTACACGGCTGGCTGGCATCTGGTTGGTAACCAGATGTCCATAGGGTCATACTCGCACAGCGTCTGGATGTGCCCTCTGCCAAAAAACCGTAGCTCTCCTAGACACGTGGTCCCCAGATGAAGTGAGTTCTGTGACAAATGTGTCTCTGGTAGATCCATGTACCACCAGCTAGAGGTTCACGGAGAGTGTCTTCCATCAACAAGGTGAATCACAGGAGTGTGCGAGGTTTCTGGAGGAGAAACAGAGGGCCTGCCTGCCGGGCCAGCCATGGAGAAGTCACTGAAGGAGCCCACATTCGACACAGCTGGTCCCAGACACAATGAACTCACATGGGCCCGAGGCTCACGTGGAAAACATCAGCGCAGTTGTGATTAAAGCCCTGTTTGCCTTAAAAGGAAATCCATTTCTTTTTTTTTTTTTAAGATTTTATTTATTTGACAGAGAGAGACACAACGAGAGAGGGAACACAAGCAGGGGGAGTGGGAGAGGGAGAAGCGGGCTCCCTGCCGAGCAAGGAGCCCGATGCAGGGCTCGATGCGGGGTTCGATCCCAGGATCCCAGGATCATGACCTGAGCCGAAGGCAGACGCTTAACGACTGAGCCACCCAGGCGCCCCAGGAAATCCATTTCTTAAAGGTACTTGGTAAACCTACATTTTGAAGTGTGCTTTTAATTTATGGCAAAATTACAAAAAAAAAAAAAAGAGCGAGCGAGAGAGAGAGAGAGAGAAGCTATTTAATGTGCAGAAGAAGGGCTAAGTGAGAGTCTGGTCTGGACACTTAATTTCTTCATATGTCAGATTCGACTAGTGTGGTGTTTCTCAACCTTGGCTACACAGCAGGATGCCTGGGGAGGGTGTTAAAACGTAGGGATGGGGGGGTGCAGACATTCTGATTTGATTTGCCTGGAAGGCGGCCCAGGCATCAGTCTTTCTATAATATCCCCAAGGGATTCCAGTGTGGGACCAAGTTGAGAAGCAGGGCAGTGGATGTTTCAGTGGAGGTTCCTGGCCCTCTCTTCTCAGCCCCAGCCTTCCCCCGCCACCCCCCAGGCGGAGGACGCCTAGCTTCCAGAAGTACCGGAGCGATTAGAAGACGTAAGTAATCAGTGATTGGTACATCCCAGAAGCCCACTCAAAGCTAGCTACTTTGCCTCATAAGAAGCCTACAATTTCTTATCTTTTCTTTTTAAGAAATGTATCTATCAATCAAGCACAAAAATCTACAGCATCTTTGAAATAGGTTCATCCACATGCTCTGTCTCAGCCATTTCTCACTGGTCTGAGCAGATGTCCAGTGGCCCTTCCCATGGCCCAACGTCAGCGCACAAAAAAAAAAACGAAACACCAAGTTGGATAAGGGGTGTTTTCCGTGTGTCACTAAGAGTGTTGTAGATCCCATTTCCATGCTTCCCAGTGTCCTTTGGGCATCTGGGCTGTGGGCCCACGTACGTTTTCACAGTTGGCCTTCAAGGACCGATTCCCACTTCAGTTTGGACCTGCTGCCAGGCGGCCCCACCCAAGTCCATTTTCCCATGTGCTGGCTGAACCACCAGCATGGAAAAATAGAACATTTCAGAGCTGGAGCTTCTCCAGCCAGTGTCATGTCAAGAGAACGGAGTCCGTGTCAGCCTCCCAGGGTCACGGTGCTCCCACAGCCAGGGCGCCATCCTGGAAGCCCACGGTGGGTGGCTCGAGCACTTCATGTCACACTATCTACTCCCTGATTCCAGCTGTGGAGAACAAACCCAAAAAAAGAAAAAAGAAAAAAGAATCCAAGGAAGCACTCACTCAAGGCCAGATTCAAAAAGCAAGTAGTTGAGTAGAAGTCCTGAACCAAACCAAACTTCTGGACACTGATAAACTACAAAATTAAAACCAGGATAAACGAAGTTATGTCCAGACACGGGTCAGTAAATCTCCAGGTTTTCAGACTGAATTGTCCAGCTCATTGCTTTGACCGACACCTCCTTTTGGCTATGGAGACACAGCCCTGGTATATTAAAACTTATAAACAATTGCTTTCCCACCTGGAAGCAGAAATGACAATGGGAAACCACATCTGGCAAAGTTTGATCTTTGGCTCGAGAGACGAGACTGGTTTCAGTGGGGTGAATTTTATAGCCAGGAGAACTATTTTTCAAGTTGCTCCAGCCTTATAAAACTGCAGTTTCTATCAAAATTGTCTCAGTGTGGGAAAGAATGAGGAGGGCCACCCAGGTCTCTATTTGGAAGTCGCCTGGAGTGTCTACTTGCCCACAGAACTCCCCATTTTCAAGATAAAAAGCCTACTTAATAAGGACATGTCTTGGGTTTTGTCATTATTCATCATTAAATTCGTCCAGATCCTTCACACCAGAGGTAGAGACAAGATGGAGGCAGAATGCCTGGGGAAAGGTCAGGGACAGATTTAAACATGTCTCACTGAGCAAGTCAGCCCGTGTCCCTGCTATCAAGCTATGAGGCCAGCTCTCACCCACTATATCCTTACCGTGGCCCCACCTGTCCTCTGTCCAGGGAAGATGTCCAGAGGAATCCCCAACCCTACAGAACAGTGAGCAAGTATTACTTCCAGCACAGGCCACCCAGGTAACGCAGGATGTGGAACCTAGAGCTTTTGAGACCAGCAATGGGCACGGGGCCCCATTTGGGGAACACAGGCTGGTGAGGTCACACCCCAGATTGGAATGTTGGGTACCTGCAGACACCTGCTCTTGGTACCGTCCGACTGTACAGCTCGCTGGTGAAGAGAGTGAGGTTTGATGTCACACTAACCTTGGTCCGGTTCCCAGGGCCTCGTTCTCTCAGGCGAGACTTTGAGCAAGTTAGGCAACTTTCTGATCCTCGGTTTCTCCCTCTGTAAAATGAAGAAAGTCCACTTCCTTGAGATGACAATTGTGAGGATTAAGGCAGCATGAATGTTGAAACACAAAAGGCAGTCAAGATATTAGACTTATTTCTATTATCCCATACAGGTGCCTAGAACAACGCAGCTGTAATCAAACCCGTCCCCCCAACAGAAATATTCTCAGAGCCTTAGTTTGTGGATTGACTTTTTTTTTTTTCACTGAGCACTTTTGCATCTCAAATTATACACCAAAGCGGGTGTGTGGCAAAAAAGCCGGGGCACCAGCTAAAGCTAACATGCAAATTGCCCGGAAAACAAGCGAGAGACACAGCCTCAAATGGCACAGAAGCCTGATTCCCACCAGCAAGGGCAAGGCCAGTGTGGCTCTAGGAAACATCCTCACTAAGGATATTTTAAAAGAAAACCAGTCTTATGACTTCCAGATACAAACCAAAAGTGACAACGGGTTAAGGAAATGTCATATGATCATTTTTCGGAGGTTGCCTTAGGAGTTACATTGAACTTGTGATTAGCACATCAATTCTTAATACATGAGGGCTGGGGCGCCTGGGGGGCTCAGTCAGGGAAGCGTCTGCCTTCGGCTCAGGTCATGATCCCGGGGTCCTGGGACCAGGCTCCGCGTTGGAGTCTGTGCTCAGCGGGGGGTCTGCTTCTCCCTGTCTCTCCCTGTTCCTTTGCCCCACCCCCCAACCTGTTCTTGCTCTCTCGCTCTCTCTCTCAAATTAATAAAATCTTTTAAAAAAATACATGAGGGCTTCCAATATGTTAGATAGGCTTGAGAAAGGTATACAGTATTTTAAAGCTTTTATTTTAAAGCTTTTAAAAAACACTCTGTCGATGAGACATCTGCACCTCTGAAGTTCTTTCTACCTCAGTGGAATAAAGATGAACTCCAGTTACTGGCCCAATGAACAATCACCTTCACGTGAAGTGGGGAGAGGGCCTCCGCCTTCCTTCAAGGACTGAGATGGGGCCCCTAATGCATTTAGCAGAGCACCTCAGGACACAGCAAGTGCTCCCGGTCAAGGTTAACAGCTGCTGTCGTGGCTGCCTCTTTTTGCTGCTTTTATCCTCTCATTCAATGACTGGACCACACCTGTGCTAGACATGGGGTCTTCCGAGAAGGATATTCCACAAGTCCAGTCCCTCAAAACACTCAAAGACTCCAAGGAGAGATGGACATGTAAACACGTTCTCATACAAAGTGGCAACTTCTCTGAGATCTGGACAAAATGCTACAGGACCCAGAGGGGAGCCAAGGAAGGCTTCACAGAGGACATAAGCTTTTATATGGGTTTTAAGAAATGAAGGGGAATTGGTCCGGCAAAGGGAAAGGGTATGCAAGACAGAGCAAACAGTAGGCACAGAAGTCTGAGTTAATCAAAAGGTGTTAAGGACTGAATTGGGTTCCCCTCCCCCCACCCACATTCATGTGTAGGAGCCCCATCTTCCATGTGATAGTATTTGGAGAGACGATGAGGGCCAGATGAGGTCTGGATGCATTTGGAACCCTCATGATGGCATTAGTGCCCCTTTAAGAAAGGAAGAGACCCCAGTGCTTGCTTTTTCTGCCATGTGAGGGGACATAGCTTGAGAAAGTGGCCATCATGGGTCAGGAAGAGAGCCCTCACCAGAAACCAAACTGGCTAGCACCTTGACCTTGGACTTCCGGCCTCCAGAAGTATGAGAAATAAGTGTAGCTTAAGCCACCCCGTCTACGGTATTTTGTTCCAGCAGCCTAAGCAGACTAATCCACAAGGCATGGTGGTCTTTGAGCAATGGTGGTGACCTCTGGATTAGGAAAGGAGAAGTCAGCCAAGGAGTATCAGGAGAAGGGTTTGGAGAGATCTCTGGAGGCCAGACTGTGAAGGAACCAAAGAGCAAGCCAAGGATTTGGCACGGATGCTATGGGCCTCCAGAACCAATAAATCTCGGCTGGGAAATGATGTGAGTTGACTTCTTCTCTATGAAGATAAGTCTGATGCCAATAGGGGAAGATAGACTGCAATTTAGAAACCTGGGAGGAGACGCCTCAGGAGTGCAGCAGGGAAAAGCTGCTCATTATTTGGTGGGGAGTAGAACCCCCACCCACTTCACTGCAAATAGCCTTCCATACAATGGCTATGCTCAGAGCTGGTCAGGTGCCACCAGGACCCTTTGGGCCCTGCAGTCCATCTGGAGAGAAGCCCTGGGGGATGGGGAAGGAGACTTCAGTTTGCTCTTCAGTGCAGACTCGGCTGGAGGGAGCTGTCCTGTTTAAAGACAGAGCCAAAAATCAGAAGCCATTCTTCTACCAGTAAGAAACAGGCCTTCATCTGTCCCAGAAATTCCAAGGACATGGGCATTTTGATGGAAAAGAACAGGAGATGGCATGTGAGAGCTCCCAGATTATGTTACCAATGTGCTATGAAAGCCCATCACCTTGACTTAGGCCTTTTGTTGTTGTTGTTGTTGTTGTTGTTGTTGTTGTTGTTTGCCTCTGAAATGTACCTGAGGAATTATGGGTAGAAGCTGAGCTTCAGAAGAAGAGCTCAAGATACTCAAGATAAAGGATAGGATGACCAGTGGTCCTGGTTTGCCCGGGACTATCTTAATTTTAGCACGAAAAGTCCCCCATCTTGGAAAGCCCCTCAGCCCCAGGCAAATCAGGACAGCTGGTCACCCTAAAGAACTATTATAAAATACTGCAAAAAGACTGTGATTCGGGATTTATCAAGTTCACAGCAGAGAGAGATAATACGTGGTAAAAATGAGGTGATGATTTTTCCTCAATGTAAGTTTAGGGTGCCATACACGAGGACTCAGATAATGCACATTTCCTCGAATAAAGCCTAACATGTTGACCATGAAAGCCAGGAAGCAGGAAACTCATAAAAATAATAACAGTAAGAATGCACATATTGGGCACTCACCATATGCTAGGCATGGTTCAAAAAACTTTACATAAATTAAATCATTTAATCCTCAACAGCTGTATGATAATCATTTGCATTTTTACAGATGAAAAAAATGGAAACACAGACATCACATACACAAGAAATGTATATGATGGAACTGGAGTTTGGAACCAGGCAGCCTGGGGCCCAAATTCCATGCTTTCAAACAGTTCCTATATATAATATATAACAACTCGTGCTTACTGAGCTCCCACTATAAGCCCATCGTGGTGCTGAGGATGCTCTCCATAAAGCATCTCCTATAACCCTCACAATAGTCTGTCTGGGTCTAGAGAGGTTACCCACTCTTTCAACTAATATCTGCTGAGCTGATGCTTGTTCAAGAATTGTGATGTTATATTTTTACAGGGGAAGGACGATGAAGGTTTGGGCCAAAGGAATAGCAGTGAACGTGGAAGATGGAAATGAGAGGCAGGACTCGAGAAAAATGTCTGAAGTGAAAACATAAAACATGGGATTGTTTGAACATGGGGAATATGGGAGAAAAGTCAAGGATGACTCTGAGATTTTTTTACTCGAGGGACTGGGTGGATGGTAATCCATCCACCAAAAACAAGACCAGAACAAGTTCTGCTTGAGGGGGAAGATGATGAGTTCAGATTGGGACGTGTTAAGTTTCAGCTACTACGGGGCATTGCAAGTAGATGTGGCCAGAAAGTCCTGGAAACATGTCTGGAGCTTAGTCTCGATGGTTGGGAGCCTGTAGCCTAGACTTAGTGATTAAGGTCACAGGTGTAAATAAGATTACCCAGAGAAGAGAACATGACAAATGACAGAGCCCTAAGAAACGTCAACATTTCAGGGGGGAGCAGAGGAGAGCCTGCCAAGAGGTCGTGAAGATAAGAGATGTGGGGAGAGAACCAGGAGACACTGTTTGCCTGGAAACCAAGGGAGGGACAGGTGATGGCCAGAAGGACCAGTGCTACAGAAGACAAGCAGGAGGAAGGCTAGAACAGCTCATCAGGACCAGGGCCCAGCTTGGAACTGAAGATGTGGGCCAGAACGTGATCAGACAGCAGCAAGGGAAACTGGGTTCCGACTTAGCCTGCTCCTGAACTTGGTCTCCTTAACATCCCTCAGCCAGGAATGAAATCACCTCAAAGCTTGGGGTTAAGGCTAGGTCTGTCCCTGGGGGGTTGGGGACTCCAGCTGCTGAGTCTGAAAAGTAAAGGAACAGGGTGGGGGGCCAGACAGATAAGCTATTGCGGTTGACACATTTATTCTCAGCTGCTTTTACAGGCCAGAAGATTAGCCCTAAAGAGCCACAAACACAAAACACAACACAAAAGCAAACAGTTTTTTTTTTTTTTCAAAAATCTTTTCCTTCCGTAGCAGAAGAGGAAGAGAGAAAGAGAAAGTAGGTCTACCAGAACAAATTCCCTGGGCCAGGCTTATGGCTGCCTGACCCGTGACCCTTGACCCCAGGCTGAGAATGCAGGAACCTTATTAACATCAGCAAAGTATGCGTGAAGAGACAAGCTTTCCAAGGGGTCTCGTTCCGCTGCCAAACCCAAAGAGCTCACCACTGACCTTGAAGCTATGGAAGATATTTCTCCCTTCGGGATGACAGAGAAAAGGCAAAGCCGGGACAGGGTTCCAAATGGAAACCATCACCTTCACGTGAAGCAGCTCTGTTTTTAATACACCCTGGGGAGAAAAATCTGGAAGTTAAGAGCTGAGCTAAGGAGAGACGTAGATGCAATTCTGACCCTCATTCAACTCTAGGCGACTCAGCTCAGGAAGAAAAAACATGTTATTTGAAGTCAGATGTTTGACCTTTTTTATGGGAGTTGCCCATTATTTATGTCCACACCCTTTAACTGGTGTTGCCTGGGTATTTCTTAGGCTCTGAAGCCAGCCTCTGTATCTAAGTTTGTGTGATCATCCAAGCTTTCTGAGGTCTCCCTACTAGCCCACCACACTTCATTTTTCATGTAGCAAAAGGATCAAGCAGAACATTCCTGTGGGGAGAGACACCGCCCAGGCCTGCCCACACTGCCTCTCTCCCGGGCTGATAAACCCCCATCATAAATTCTGCCACAACGCGAGGCTCCGACCTGCTATCAGTATGCTTTTCTCTTGGCAACATACCAGCTCTGTCCCATGAGATAAATCCATTATTTTCAGAATCCTAGAGGGGCAGGACAAGGAGTAAGAGGAGACTCGCCAGCCCAGGGTAAATCATCCTGCATTGCTGTTTGCAGTCCTCAGGCTAACATCTCATTCTGGCTCCTTCCTGGGTCTCATCCGTGGTTCTGCCACAGAGTGACGTGGTACCTTCCAGACTTCCACTTCACCATCCCCCACCCCCCTTCCCAGCTGTTGTCAAAGCAACAGCCTCATTCACTGGGAAGTCCGAGGAGGAGAGATGGTGAGGTGGGAGGGATGGGCTAGGAGAAAAATGTACTGAGATAAGAAAAGCAATTGGTCCTCGTAGAATGCATGACCAGAATACCGGGTTATGCCTTCACTCTGGCTCTTGGACCTGGGACTGAACTTTAGAATTCATTCCCTTTGGCTTCAACAGGTTCTCAGGTCTGGAACAGGAGAAAGAGAGAGAGGTGCGAGAATCTCCAGGACACCCGTTTGCACGTTGTGGACTACCTGTGCGCCTTCAACCAAAGACCTTGACCGAGCTTGGTCTGTGTCCTCTCCTCCTATTTTGTGACCCCACTGGGAAGAGACAGAGAGGCTGCCTGAGCCCTTCGGCTGCTTCAGCAGAGCGTGGAACCTCTGAGCACCTGCATTTAATCCTAGCTCTTTACAATTCCAACCATTTTTCCCCAACAAACCACTTTTTCTGGTCATGTCAGCAACTACTTTCACATGATTTAAGTGAATCCGCCATACAGATGAGCCAGCTTGGCTGTGGGGGCTGCCAAAGGAAAAACCCCAATTGATCTGGTGTTTTTCATCTTATTGACAAGAACTTAATTCAGTCCAGCTGTACTTCATCTTGGCAAAGCTTCAAACCTCAGGAGAAGGGGGATCACAGTGCCACCTATCACAGCTGCAAAGTGGGTCTTGAGGCCATGATGAGTGTGTCTGTAGCAACTTTTGAAAATAACCCGTTTAAACATTGCAACAGTGATCCTCAGTCTTTGGAGAGAGGTTATAACATCAAATAGCCATTTGGTTCTTTCTGGATTCCCCACTGTCCAGCCCACCGCCACCCAATACACAATTTTAGAAAATCTGGCGAAGCTAGAATTCCTTTTAAAATATTTAAAATTAATTTTGGGGGCGCCTGGGTGGCTCAGTCAGTTAAGTGTCTTTCGTTCGGCTCAGGTCATGATCTCATGGTCCTGGGATCCAGCCCCCGCATCAGGCTCCCTGCTCAACGGGGAGTCTGCTTCTCCCTCTCCCTCTGCCCCTCCCCCCACTTGTGCTCTCTCTCTCTCTCTCTCTCTCTCTCTCTCTCTCAAATAAATAAAAATCTTTAAAAAATAAAGTTAATTTTAGGTGATTTTACTTTCAGATTTTTGGGGTGAATTTTGCAATACCTTTGTGCTCCCTCAGATACTTAGGATTTCGCCCCCAAAAAACAATCAAGGAATCAATTCTCTGTCCCACGGGTCAGAAACTGATCTTGCCGATGCTGAGAAGGAAATGGAGTTTTTCATAATTCAGGGTTATCGCTAGGGCTACAGTCATGATATGTGTAGACAGGGCTTTGAACGTATCTGGTGTTCTTTGCTATCCCCGCAACTCTAGCCTCTAGGTTCCTCCGCAGAGAAAGCTGCACGAGAGAGCTTCATGGGTTCTTACAGAAAGAGGGGCTAGAGAGAGAAATTCTCCCATCCTTCCATGACAAAATGTCTTCTGAGGATACTGGATAACATTTATTGAGCTTTTCTTATGTGCCCGGTCCTACTCTAGGTATATTCACAAATGTAATCCTTGTAACAACTTTCTGAAGGTGGTACCATAATTCTCTCCAGATACTTACAGATGGAAAAACTAAAGCACAGAGAGATCAAGCAATTTTCCCAGAGTCACAAAGTGAAAAAGTGGTTGTGCCAGGATTCTAGCAAAGGAAGTCAGAGTCCAGAGTTCATTCTCTTAACTTCTATCTCCCAGTACCTCTCAAACCTGAGCATGAACAAGCAACTGGAGGGCTTATTAAAATACAGATTTCTAAGCCACACACCCAGAGTTTCTGATTCAGTAGCTCTGGGTGAGGCCGGAAGACTTACATTTCTAGCACATTCCCCAGTAACGGTGATGATGCTGGACCACACATTGAGAATCAAAATCATTGCTTTTGGCCCCTAGAGAAAACTCTTGCTAGAACCCTTTCTTCATCCCCACATATTCCTCCAATCCAGAAAAAAAAAAAAAAACCTCAATGAAAGCATTAGCTATACTAAGTAATCTCATGAAATCAATCAACCAGCCAGTGTTTTGGGTGGCCTTGACAATTTCTCAGACTGCAACTGTGCTAAGTCAAACTTGGGGGGCTTCCAGAAGCAAAATCCCAGCCTTCTCAGTAGAGCTTCTCTGGACCACTGAGGGGCCTTCAGCCTGCAGAAGATGACTGGACAGCCTGTACCCTCTTCCCTCTTCTCTCTCTACTCACTCCTTTGTTGATAACACATTGTTTCGAAGCCATGAGTATTACTAAACTGAAAGGAATCTCACCCGTTTGTTAAAACTTCCTCCGTAGATGTTTGGAAAGTTATCTTTCTTCAAGAGGTCACTTTGGAATCACTTCAGGGTATATAGGACAACAGAATATACACACATAGGGGAGGCAAGCAGAGCAAAGGTAAACACTGAGCGATTTTCTAAGGTAAAGCTGGGACCAAGCTAGCGTACAGAAACACGGCCTACAAGACAAACTCAAAGAAGGAAACCCAGTAGGTTCTGAGACTTGCCGTTTTTGAGAAGCTCTTTCACACACTGAGATCCAAAAGATCTCTCCATCATTAGGAAGGAACACAGCATTGGGTGGCCCACCATGTTCTCCACAACATCTCCATGCAAAATACAAAAATGTTTCACAGAGAATTTATTAGAATAGCCCTCAAAGGATACTCGCGGTTATAATATTCCACAAAATATGGACCCCACGGGTCTCCCATGTCAAGGTAAATGCCTTATGCACAGTAGGCTGGCAGTCAATACTTGAAAATTAAAAACACTTTTGAGTAGTTTGGTTCTTCGCTATCTTTACTGAAGTATATATATGAAGAACTACAACTGTACTTCTTTCCAAATACCCCATAATTCTGATACTTTTGCCACTGCCCTTCTAATTTTTAGTTGTGTGTGTGTGTGTGTGTATGTGTGTTTTGAAGTAGGCTCTACACCCAGCGTGGGGCTTGAACTCATGACCCTCAGATCAAGAGTCTCATGCTCTACCGCCTGAGCCAGCCAGGTGCTCCTTGCCACTGCCCTTCTATCCAACTTAACTAAGTCTAATTTAATTTTCTAATGCTTGAAGACAATTATTACATCATAATGGTGAAAGTTATTTCACATTTTCTTTAAAAAAAATAAAGTCCAGTTTTCTTAAAAGATTCATCATTAAGCACTCCCATCAAATAATCCACTGATTAGTCTATGACACTTTCCATTCTGAGATTTTTCAGTAACATTTATAGCATTGTGAAAATCACTTAGACCACATGTCAGAAGTCTAATCCTGTCCCCGTAACTTAGTGGCTGTGTGGCTTACCTTCCCTTGACTTCGATTTTCTCATGTGCTAAATGGAAGAAAAGAAACCTCACCCCAGAAATATTCTCATGAATTAACACAGGAATAAAAAAGCCTTAAGGAACACATATCTGAATTTGAATTGAATTATAATAAGTGAAAATTCATTTGATGGATTATAATTATGATAATGATCCTAATTAATGGTCCCTGACTTGTTTTCCCCCAGAGGTAGTGATGCATTTCCCTGGAAGAATAGGTGTGTGCTCCCCACCTGTGGCCACTGGGGCTATACGGGAAAAGGGACAGACTCATGCCAAGGGCTAGTGAGGGGAGGAGCGCTTCAGCACAGTTCAGCCAAGGTTGCTCAGATCCAGAGAGTGAATTCAACGAACACATCTACACTGGTCATTGGAGCCCGGGGACCTGGTGGATACCAGAGCCAAGGTACAAAGAAAACAGGGTTGGAGAAAAAGGGACATAAAGACAAAAACAATGAGTTGATGTAGGAAGACAGGAGACAGTCTGAAAACACTTCAGCGGTGACAAGCCAATGTCCACAGCTCTGCTTTCCCTACTTCTCAGTCCATTTGCTGGGGGCAGCCAAGTCTGTTTAAATGGACAGGAGACTGTCACACAGATCCTCTCACTCAGCTCACCTTACAATCAGCGACAGATGCTTGCAAGCTACCAGGAAATACGGAAGTACTAACAGGTCAGCCCACGTTTCAGATTTGAACTCACCAAGCTGAGGACACCAAGTGTCCTTACTGAGGCCCTCAATCTCAGGGTGAAGACACTAATGTCTTGAAAGAGATTTGTTACTACTAATAGTTAATGCACTAGCATTTGCAAATGCCTTACTTATTTATATGCGTGCTTCTCTTATATAAATTAGAACAGGATGGAGTTTATCCCTAGGATAACCCCTTTCTCATTCACTGGTATTCTAATGTGTTTCTTGAATTAAAAAGGAAAAAATGGGGTAATACCTAGCAGTCTGGGAAGTGCACGTAATCTGAGGGTTGCTCATGAGAGTGTGCCATGTGATATTAGGGTACCTCCTCAGTATAGGGAGAAATGGTTGGAAACCACCACTAGATCTGAGCAAGCTGGGTAGCCTCATGGAGATAACGCAAGCATTGGCATGGAATCACTGTGGATGGTCCTGTTATGTATTTCAGAGAATCTGGGTAGGGTACCAACACCCAAGGGCTCTATGCTCATGATGGCAAAGAGCAGAATCCAGCTAATTATACGTGGTCTTCCATAACCCTGAGCTAATGATCCATCTTGATGCTGATCATAAATCTCTCATCCTAAAAGAGCTCAAATTCATAATTTGGCTTCACTCATTTGGAATTTTTTTTTTATAACAGTAGTAGTCAGATGCTGATTGTCAGAATAGAAAAGTATTTAATTCAATTCTCTTTTTGAATGACTCATTTCCAATTTATGTACTAATAACTTGCAGTGGTCAGCCTCCAAGATGGCACCAAGTGATCCCCATCTCCTGGTATGCACACCCTTGTGCAGTCTTTCCCACACTGTATCAGGGTTTCTTGGTGTGGTCAATAAAATATGGCATAAGTGATGATGTGGGACCTATGCTAGGTCATGAAAGACATTGCTGTTTCTGCCTTGCCCCCTCAGGTCTTGTTCTGGAACATGATCATGACCATGAAGCTAGCTGTCATGCTGTGAGGACACTCAAACAGTCTTATAGCAAGTTTCACTAGAAAGGGGACTGAGGTATCAGTTTTCCAGCCATGCGGGTGTGCCATCTTGGAAGCAGGTCCTCCAGCCCCAGGCTGGCCTTCAGATGACTGTAGACTCAGCTGACAGCTTGACTGCAGTCTAGTGATAGTCCCTGAGCCAGAACCACTCAGCTAATCTATTTCCAGAAACTATATAAGATAATAAATGTTTATTGTTATGTTAAGCCATTAAGTTTTGGGATAATTTGTTATGTAGCAATAGATAATAAACATATAACTGATGTGCTAATTATAAATTAATTTTTATCATTCATTCAAACCAGATACTCAAGGATTTTTTATTTTCCAAAACTTTTTAAAAAATCTAATAAAGATGTGTTGCTAATTCTCTACACGTAGCCCAAATGAGTTTCCGGTTTTATTGTACATATGCGAATCTGTTTCTTACTTTGACCAATTGGTAATATTATTTATTTGGGATTAGAGTCTGTTCGCTATCGGTGACCCCTCAGAAGTCATCTAAAATGTGGCCCATTGTATGTTTGTGTATATTCTATGACAGTGTCTAGAGTACTGGCTAGGACACGAATGAATAAGTTATTTGGGCTTATTTAAAAAGCCATAGAGTCTCATCAAAAGAATTTTATCATAACAAAAGAATTTCTTTCCCTCCCTTGAATTTGGCAGAAAGGTTTTATGGTACCAAGAAAGAATGGGTGATCTCTGAGGATTTTTGTCACTCTCAAATAGGACAAAAGATTTCAGAATTCTTTTTCTTCTTTGGCAAAAATCAGGAGACCAAAAACCTAAACCCCAACAATTAACTCTCACCACAGGAAAGGTATGAACCACAGGCATTGTCAGGAGAACATCTTTCTGCTTTGGCCAATGCATCGTCCTGAAGGGACAGACTCCATTTCCTAGGGCGTCATGCTGTAGTTGGATCTGTGTGTTCTGAGAACATCTGACACAGCAACATCTGGGAATCAACAGAAAAAACATCTTCCAAAGTCAATATAAGTTCTGTTTACATTGTTGCCATCCTGAATTATATGTTCCCCTATAATTAGTGTAAATAATCAAAAGCTAGCAATATTTACAAAAGTCTTAGTTATGATTTATTTTCCTCAAGAAAGAATTATACCTACCCACTGCAAATTGGGAAATGAAAGAAATCAGACTCTAATCAAGATTGTGGCCTAAAGGCCAAAAAAAAAAAAAAGGCCATCCAGAGGGTACTTCCCAAATGTTCCAGCATGGGTTTCTCCCCCTCAAATACTTCTAGCACCCCTTATTTTCTGATGAGAATTTCTTTACTTTTCATCTCTCCACCTCCGGGAAGACTTCCTGATACCTAGACTGTGTGAAGGGCCCTTCCTCTGAGAGCCCCCTCCATACAATAAACATTTTAAAGGCTCTGTTCCTGTTTAACTAGTTTTCAGACCCTAGTGCCTAGCACAGAGCCTGACACATAATAGGAACAAATAATATGTATTGACTAAAGTGTACATTGGACCCATGATATTTTTTAAAGATTTTAGAGAGAGAGAGAGCAAAAGCGTGGGTGCACATGAGTGGGGGAGGGGCAAAGGGAGAGAATTTTCTGTGCTGAGCACAGACCCCACTGCAGGGTCTCCATCCCACAACCCATGAGATCATGACCTGAGCCGAACCAAGAGTCAGAGGCTCAACCAACTGAGCCACCCAGGTGCCCCATGGACCCATGATTTTCATATAACATTTTGCTCTTCCTCATATTGTGTTTATTAGAAAATTCCTTTTCATTCATTTTTTCTTTGCCAACTCCCCTTTATAGCTCTCATTCTGAAAGTCTATGTTTTGCTAAGTTTCAATCACTGGAAGGCAAAAAATAGGACAAAAGTCTCCACATTTTCACCCAGAGTGTGAGAATATTACAATCCAAAAAACTACCATATAACTTTACACCCACTATGATGGCTACAAGCAAAAACAGAAAATAGCAAGTGTTAGTAAAGTTGCAGAGAAATTAGAACCCTCACATATTGCCGGTGGGAATATAAAATGACTCAGCCAGTGCAGGAAATCAATTTGGTGACTCCTCAAAAAATTAAATGTGAAAGTACCACATGACCCAACAATTCCACTCCTACTTACATGCCCAAAAGCACCAAAAACAGGTTGTGCAAACAAAAACTTGTACACAAGTGTTCATAGTAGCACTGTTCACAGTAGCCAAAAGTTGGAACAATCCAAATGTCCGTTAACTAATGAATGAATTGATAAAGAACACGTGGTATCTCCATGCAATGGAATGTTGTTTGGCCATAAAAAGGAATAAAGTTGTGATCCATGCCACAGCATGGAGAAGCCTTGAAAACGGTATGCTAAGATACAGAAGCCAGCAAAAAAGGCCACATATTACATAAGTCGATCTATATGAAATGTCCAGAACAAACTAATCTATAGAGACAGAAAGTAGATTAGAGGAGGGGTGCCTGGGTGGCTCAGTCAGTTGAGCATCTGACTCTTGATTTTGGCTTAGGTCATGATCTTGGGGTCCTGAAATTGAGCCCCATGTAGGGTTCCACATTCAGCACAGAGTCTGCTTGTCCCTCTCCTCTGCTCCTTGCTGCCCACCCTCGCCGCTAAAATAAATAAATAAAATATTTGAAAAAAAAATAACAAAGAAAGTAGATTAGTGGTTGCTTCGGATGCTTCGGACTGGGTGAGGATGGAAGGTTAGGCGGGTGGCTAAAGGGTGAGAGGCTTCTCTTTGCGTTGATGAAAACGTTCTAAAATTGACTGCTAGTGGTTGCACATTATCTGTGAATATATTAAAAACCATTAAATTCCACACTTTAAATGGGTGGATTGAATTGTATGTGATTATAACTCAGTAAAGTTATTAAAAAAAATATATCAGAGTGATGCCTGGGGGGCTCAGTTTGTTAAGCATCTGCCTTTGGCTCAGGTCATGATCCCAGGGTCCTCGGATTGAGTCCTGCGTCAGGCTCCTTGCTTGGCAGGGAGCCTGCTTCTCCCTCTACCTGCTGCTCCCCCTGCTTATGCTCTCTCTCTCTCTCTCTGTATACATACATACATACCAGGTAGCATAAGGAAATTCATTGAGGTGTTGGAATTGTTCTGTGTTCTGTTTGTTGGTGGTAGTTGTCAGATTCAGTGCATGTGTTAAAATCTATAGAACTTTACACTCCAAAACAGCGAATTGCCATGCATTGTAAATTTAAACCCACCATGTGCTTAGTTGGAATTATGAGCTGGTATCCATGATCAACTTCAGTTGAGACTGGTTTATCTAATTAAAAAGTCCTGTGTGTATGCAAAGAGAACACTCAGATTCAAAGAGCCAAGCCTGAACCTAGCTTGTGAGGCTGCATTCCGCAGCTGAAATCCAGACCATACGAAGTCAGAGAGATCATCACCCATGTAGTCTTGTCTACACTTCATGCTTCAAGCAGACTTGTGGATTCGGTGGTCCAAGGTTTCCTTCCAGGTCCCAGAAACCGCTGGTGATTGTTCGAATTCGCCATTTCACATGTGCCAGATAACAAACTTGGGCCCAAAATGGAGAAGGGCAGGTGGCGAAGTAGGAACGAAACCAGGTCACCATTAACATCCTGTGACCCTCTGATGGGTACTAGGGAAGCCTGGTATCCTAGCCACCGAGACACCTGCTGAGCCCTTACAGTCAGTCCCCTTGCAGTTAGCTCCAGTCCTTGGAGACCCTGACCGGAGAGCGACACACTCTATGGTAGGGACCACGTGCATGCACTGAATGTGCCAGGCTACACAGCACCCACAGGCATGAAGCTCCTTGAGAACAGGGGCCACCTGGATCAGCTGGGATTAGATGCAACCACATATAATGGAAAGCCCAAAACAATGGAGGCTTAAACACAAAAAAGTTACTCCGCCACATAAAAGAGGTCTTTGGGGAGGTGATCTATGATTGACATGAAATCAAACAGGGACTAAGATTCCTGCTCCCTTTCTGCTCCACCAACCTCAGTGCTTGGCTTCCACATTTATGGCCCAGGATAGCTGAAGTTCCAGATATCACATTTCAATCCCAGGCAGCAGGAAGGAGAAGGAGTAGAAACAACACAGGCATGCTTCCTGGTTGAATCAGCAGGCTTTAAAGAGCCTTCCTGGAGATCCACGGGAAGGTTACATTTGGATTTCAAGGACCAGAAGAACATGGTCACAAGGCTACAGGTAGGAGGAAAAAAATATATATCGCTTTTAATTGGACACCTTGCTGCCTTCAATGATGAAGGAGTTCTGTTGGTTGGGAATAAGAGGGAATGAATGCTGGGTAGACAACCTGCAGTGTCAGCCAAGCCAGCCCTGTGTCTTCTGGGGTACCCTGCAATGGCCCTGCGAGGAGCCCATTAAATGCTACTGATTTGATCTGATCTGCAGTGGCCAGGCAGGCTGATCTAGAAGCGACCTTGCTTTCTGCTTGCATAAATAGGCAATTCTCTAGTCTGGCCCACGGTATAGGGGCTAAGCAAGTAAGGCATGGTTTTTCCAGTCTTTGTGAATTAGGAATTGGTCAAAAACATTGATATTTTCTCTTGGAAACCACAGCTCTATGTGAAAATGAAAGGAAGTTATTTCAATTTTCTAAACCACCCAGTCTTCTCTGTTAGGTTAGAGATGAAAACTGTGTTATTCTGTCCTCAAACTCACCCCATGATTCTCCCACCCACAGATCCACACGGACTGATGGAAAGTGGTCACATCTGAAGGAGTTTGGGATTGAGGGTCGGTAGCTCATGTGTACTAACAGTGCTACTGAGAATGTGCTCCTTCTCTCCATGGGGAGGCCCTGCATACATATCCCCTAAGGAAAAGACAGACTCACGGACTAGCTCTTGTCCAATCCTTGTATTTGTAAAAACCCCTTGCCTATGGGGAAGGGAAAGAAGATGCAGAATGAGGAAGTGACCTGCCTAATTCTGAAGGCAGAGCTTTTAATTTGGGTCCCAGCTCTCGGTCCACTGCTCAAATCAATATAACCCAAACTAATATAGAAAAAGAAAAAAAATCTACCATTGAGAACCAAATGTTTGAGATTTGGAAACATTTTACGGTTTCTATCTACACTGATTTAGTTATCCAGATCAGAGTTTGATTCTTGATTTTATCTTGCCTTGCCTTGGTCTCTATGAAGTCATCAGTTTAATCCAATCATCATTTATTGAAAGCTTACTCAGTTATCAGCAATATGTTATCAGGGGGATACAGAAGGACCACAAGATATGGCCTTATGTTACTGTATTATTAAGATATAGGGCCATGAATTAATGAGGTTAATTTTTAAACAAATACACCAAAGACTATATATATATATATATCCATGTGAGCAGTACCTCACCTTAGGAAGCACATAGGCCAACAATAGTGTCATTGCCCAAAATATTTTCAGAATTCATATTCGGGAAATTCTTTTCAATAGGTGAACCAAATTACATTGGGTGCCTATAATAGCCACTGGGTCTTTTTGCTTTGAGAATGGAATTTCTCTTTTGAGGCAAGCCAAAGTCATCGAGAACCAGGTCTGGTACAAACAGGTGGATGATCAGCTTAGATTCCTGGTGACATTCTGTCAGCCCAGGGTGGTCTTCCCCCAGACCTCTTTTTCCATAATAGAATAATCTTTGTGTGTTTAGGCCAGTGGTTCTCAACACTTTAACATACATCAGAATCACATGGAGGGCTTGTTAGGATATAGATGGCTGGGTCCAATTTCTGATTCTTCAGGTATGAGTGAGGCCTGAGAATTTGCATTTCTAATAAGCTCGCAAGTGATGCTGATGTTACTGGTCTAGAAACCACACTTTGAGAACCACTGCTTTAAGGCAGTTATTTTAGACATAGCTGCACTTAATCTTACCTGATATAAATCATCCTTGCTCTCAGAGAACTTGGTTACTACCTCTCATACTTAGTTCTGGACACTTTATGGCCTTGCACATTCCAGGTATGCAACTGGTCACATGCCCGTGGTCCCTACCAAGAATATATCACTTTTCACCCAGCACCACACAGGATGGAGCTAACATCTGTGATGGAAAGGGCTCACAGGCTATTCTGTGATTAGAATCTGAGCCGTGCCTAGCACCCAGGCAAGTCACAGGTTAGGGATAAAACATCCCTGGAAGGGATGCTAATTATCATCCGAGTCTAACTATCCTACCACTCTTCTTATTTGAGGCTGAGGAAACCAGGTTACCTGATAAGTTCATCCAATTGAACCCAGTTCAAGGTCACCCAATAAGTTACAGGACAGTTATGCAGGATCCATGAGAAAGTATCAAAGTCACCTTCTGTCTACAGAGAACAGGATCGTGAGCTCACGTAATCAGTACCGAATGCAACGTGAGGTAGGTCTAATATGGTGTGTGCATCCCCCCCAAGAACAAACAGTGCAAATCAGACTGCATATTTCTACCCCTTCCATCCTATAATAACTTTGATGGGAAACACCACTATTTACCCCCCTGTGGTGAAATATTCCTCATACTTAAGACATAACCATTGGCTCCATCTCTAATGATAAACCCTCATTTCTAGGAGATGACAGGGGAGGCGAAGTGAAGGTCAGCTAGAATGCACATCCTCCCACTTCTTCGGTGTAAACATTCACTATTCGTAGTGAAACAGTCAAGAAACCACAAAGAGTTGACTTGGCTGACCCCCAATAAGGTTCTAAGCTTCAGCACAGTGTCAACATCTGGTCTCAAGCTCTTTTCAATCTGGTACCAATTGATGGGATGGCACTGATGCTTTCGAAGCCACATGTGAAGAAGAGGCTGCTGGGGAGGAGGAGGGGGGGGTCTTCACAGTGGCAAGAAAGGCTGGAAAGTTCAGGGAGGACAGAACCTGGGGAAGCCTGATTTCTCTTTATTGTCTGCCCACTCTGGAGCTGCTGTTTAGGATGATGGATCAGGCCTGCAAACCACATCCATATGGCCCCGATAGCCCATTCCATTTGTTCAGCCTCACAGTACCTGCCCCTATCTCTGCCCCTAAAACAATACACGGCCCCTATAGAAGAACTTCTAACATCCTCTCCCTTTTTCACCACCATGAGTTTTGTCCCTTTCTGCCCGCCCAAACCTGCTGGAACCTCAACTTCTCTAGAAAACCATCTCTGACTCACCTACCTATCTGCCACCCCTCCAGGAAACTTTTAGGCGTAATTCTTTACAGTGGGTTGAGTGCCTTCTCTATCATGAGTATTTTACCTTCTGTTTTTAGTGATCAAAAGCAGGTGTTTTATTTCCTTGGGGAGTTTTTGCTCATGTTGTTCTCATCACTTTCCCAGTTCTTCTGGCTTCTCCCCTTCCCCGTGGGGCACTAACTGTTTAAGGTACCAGGAACAGACAGGTCAGTACTCCTGAACTGCCCCCCACACATTAGGGCTGAGCAGCTCTCAAAATGCTGCTAAGAGTTTGGGAAAGCTTGAAAAGCTAGGTCTGGGAAAGGTTTGAAGAGGCATCCTCAAGAACCCACAAGGACAGGTGTGCATGGTTGCTATGGTTACCAGGCCCTGGCGGTCTAGCCACCTCCTCCTAACGAGACAATCCTCTGTGAAGCACGAAGACGCTCAGGTGCTCAAATCCAATTCAGCCCAAGAGCGGGGAGAGCAGGGATGGTCTTATCAGCCAGCTTGTCACAATGTCACAGCATAGTTAGAGGTCACCAGGGCTATGAGGAGAACACATGGGGAAAACCACCTTATGAATACTTGTAAGATTAGAATGAAATTCAACAGTGAAGTCAAAGCCAAACGTTCCCTGCACTCTCTGAGTTTTGTTCTGTTTTGCTTTGTTTCTGTTTTTTCTTGAACCAGAACTAACATCGCATCAGTCCGTGTGGTTCTTGTGCGCCTGGTGGCCAAGCCCTTGGATGCAAACAGACCTGCGGCAGTGGGGAAATAAGTGAGCTAGGACTCCAATCAGGACAGTCTCCTCTTTCTACCTGAGCCTCAAACTATAGTTTTCCAGGCTCCAGATGGTGATCATGATTGTTAAAAAGCAAGCATTATCCCTGTTAATGAGGATAATAAAACTGAACAATTCATGAGCACCAGCAACATATGGAGCACCCAACAAAACACAGATTTACCCCGCATTATCAGGAAATGAAGTTTTCCACATCAGTGAATTTTCTGGAAAATTAGGGCTTACCTCTTTAGCTTGCTTCCATATTTTTTCTGAAGATATTAACCATTTGGGATGGAAATAGGTGTCAGAGATGTAGGGCCCTTTCCTATCTTGCTAAACAGTTTGTCAAATATCACATACACCATTTTTTTTTTCTGGATGTCTCATTGTGAACATGCAATGATGCCCAGGGGGAGAGGGGTGTCTCCATTTGTAATGGATTTGGGTCTTTACTGGGACAGCCCACTTCGCCTTGGCTTAAAATCAGCTATATGAGGGCTCGCTGCCCTTGACGGTAAGCACCTTAGGTGAGAACCAGGGCTTTCTATCCTTAATGGGGTATCCCCTACAGCCTTGCCACTCAAAAGGGGGTCCGCAAAATAACAAATCAGTACCTGGGAGGTGATTAGAAATGCAGACTCTGGCCCCATCCCTGACCTGCTGAATGAATTAGATTCTGAATTTGAACAAGACCTTCAGATGATTCACATACACATTAAAAGTAGAGAACGATTACCCTCCAGCTGTGCTTGCCAGCTTGTCCCCAGCCAGTTACACCACCATCACCTGAGGATGCCTGGTAGCATCACAGAACACGGGGCCCTGTGTAGACCCCAGAACCAGAACTTCCAGGGAGAGAAACCCAGGAATCTATTTTTATCATACTCTAGGGGTCATTCTGACCTGCACCAATACTGAACATCCCGCTCTAGACTTTGCTCTCCAGAGGTACTCAAATCGTTCTCTATGTTAATGCCAATTCTTTTTCAACTTTTACTAACAAACCAAACCCACACACTTTTGCAAAGCACGGGGACTTTTGACTAAACCTCCTGACAAAGGCATTTCTGCAGCTCCTCCACCATTTCTTGAGGCTCCGAGAACTTGACTTTGCTTTGGGGGTGGGGAGGGGGCCACTTCTCCATCCCAGCCCAGAGCTGCACACAGCTGTGGGGCTTCCCAGGATCACGGACTTGGGGCTTTCTGCAAACGCGTCCGTGGGGACAGAACTCAAATGCCTGTCGCCTCCTCAGCGCTCTCGGGCTTCTCCTGCTGCTCCCCACGTCTGGGGCCCGCGGGGAAACACAGCCACCCGTGGCCGGAACCGGCAGTGGACACTCGACCTTGAACTCCAGACCACAACCCAGATAACCCGCTCCCCTGCACGAAACCACTCCCCCGGGGCACACACGTGGTCTTTATTAGTCTTCATTAAACTGAATGGAATTCTTGTCTTGGTGTTTCCTGGGTATCCTGTCTCCTCTGGCACTAGCAAGCTGACCGGTACTAGTCCTTTTTGTCTAAGCAGATACAACCCCGTTTCTAATTTTCTGACACAGTGGTTAAGATCTCTGGCTTTACTAAATGAAAGAAGCCAGACACCAAAGGCCACATATTGTATGATTGCATTGACATGAAATGTCCCGAAAAGACAAATCCCTATAGAGACAGAAGGTAAATTCGTGGTTGCCAGGGTCTGGGGGGAGTGGGGAATGGGAAGTGACTGCTAGCAGGTACCAAATTTCTTTTGGGGGTGGGGGGAGGAAAATAAAATGTGGAATTAGCGTGATGATTGTATAATCTTGTGATTATAATAAAAAAACCACTGACTGTACACTTTAAAAGATGGAGATGTGAATTCTACCTCAATTTTTTTTTTAAAGATTTTATTTATTTGACAGAGAAAGAGAGTGCACAAGCAGGGAGAGTAGCAGGAAGAGGGAGAGAGAGAAGCAGGCTCCCCGACAAGCAAGGAGCTGGATGCAGGGCTTGATCCCAGGACCCCAGATAGTGACTTGAGCCGAAGACAGACACTTAACCAACTGAGCCACCCAGGCGCCCCTATATCTCAATTTTTAAAAAGATCTTGGGCTTTAGAATCAGACCAGCTGGGTTCAAATCTGGCCTCCGCCACATCCCAGCTGTGTTACCTTGGACAAGCCAATTAACCTCTTTGAGACCCAGCTGCATAGTCTATAAAAAGGATGATAAAAGTACTTATATCATAGGTTTGTCGTGAGATTTAAATAAAATAATCCTTGTACTATGCCTAGTACATTATAAGTGCCAATAAATGTTATTGGCTAACTTTGAACTCAACAGTTCTCAAATTTCAAAATGCGTGAGAATCACCTGGGGAGCTTGGTAAAATGAACGCCCCTTAGACTTTCAGATTTATAAGCTTGGAGTTGGCTTCAGAATCAGCATTTTTAATAAGCTTACCATTCTGATACAGATGGTCTGGAAATGATACTATAATAAATACTGTCCTACATGCTTGTAAAATGGAAAAATTGATAAGCAAATGTTTTAAGAATTTTGTGTTAGCTTCCCACTTAGGATGTAGAAAACTGGAAAGAACATCACTCCTACCCTTACTGCCAAAAAAAGTTGGACAATCCGCAAATTCACAACTTTTTTTGAACCTATCAGAGAGCTGGGACTGAAGGACAACCAGCTAACCCCAAATCCAAGGAAACTACAGGCACCTCCAGAGAGAGATAAATATAAGCACTTGATTATCTGGGGCCAATTGCCACCGGACCCAGATAAAAATAATTCAGCTAAAAATTTCAACAAATTGCTAACGGCTGAGCTTAGGCCCGCAAGAGGCTATAGAACCCCTGGGGACATAGACAAAGGCAAATTAACACCCTCCTGTGGGTTTTTCTCCACAGACCTCATTAAGTATACATAAAAAAGATGGGGAAGAGGACATGAGTCTTCAGGTAGCATCCTATGTGCTGTAGGCCTGGGAAAAAAGGAGTAGCAGCCCCCATGGGAAATGCATGAAATTCCACCTGGATTCTTATCCCCTATCAAATTTAGCCTTGAAATGTTGGCAGAACGGCAACAACCCTGTCACTCTTAGGGCTCTGGTGAAAAAGGTAATGCAGCTGGGGAAAAGGAGCTGGGAGTGGGGGGGGGGGACTCTATAGCCTTGGGAAGGAGCAGGAATATGTTCTGGACCCAGCCCTATAGCTAAAGGTAAACCACTATGAAAGCACCACTCCCAAGATCCAGAGACACAAGACCTGTCTACAACTGAGCCTTAATCAGAACATCAGAGAATGCTTCCCCACCACCAGGCCAACAAGCATCTAGTAACAACTGATAGTACTCTACTGCTGAAAGAGGTGCTAAACCATGGTGAGAGACCCCCATGGAAGCACAGTGCAAAGAGAAGATCTACACCCAAGGGTAGAGCAGACATTGGGGGGAAAATACCTTCCAGCAAACCAGCCACCACCCTAGCCCAAGAGGAATTTAAAAACTGTTCTACTGAAAGTAACCATAGCAACAAGACCCAAACTGGTTCAACTTCTAAGTAGGCAGACTCAGTCCCCCACACTAAATGCTAAGAATCAGAAAGACATGCCCACTTCCAGGTGTAACAACTATTTAACTCAGTCTCTGATACCCTATACAAGATGTCTGGCTTTCATCAAAAAATTACACGGTATGTGAGGAAATAAGAACAACAAAAACACTGTCAAGAGGCAAAGCAATCAACAGAACCAGACTCAGAGATGACACAGATGTCAGCACTATCAAACAGGGTATTTTATTTTATTTTAATTTTTTTAAAGATCTTATTTATTTATCTAAGAGAGAGTGAGCACACAGATGGAGAAGGAGAGAGTGAAGCAGACTCCCCACTGAGCAGAGAGTCCCACTGGGACTTGATGGCAGGACCCTAAGATCATGACCTGAGCTGAAGGCAGACGCTCAACTGACTGAGTTACCCAGGTGCCCCTCAAACAGGGAATTTTAAATAAATATGATTACTATGTTAAAAAGGCTCTAGTGGAAAAGATGGGAATCATACATGATGAGATGGGTAACTTCCATCAAGAGAGGGAAACTGTAAAAAAGAATCAAATGGAAATGCTGGAAATGAAAACCTTAGTCACAGAAATAAAGAATGCTTTGAATGGGCACATCAGCAGACTTGAAATCACCAGGGAAAGAATAGTAAATTTAAAGATAGATCAATAGAAATTACCCAAACTGAAACCCAAAGAAGAAAATAGTTTAAAAAAAATAGGGCACCCAAGAACTGCAGAACAATATTGAACAGGCTAATAGGCATGTATTTGGGATCCCAGAAAGAGAAAACAAGGCAGAAGAATATTTCAAGAAATAACACATTTAAACTTATCCTCATTTATTCCATTTTCAGTGCTCTTCATTTCTTTGTGTAGATCCAAGAATCTGTCTGATATCATTTTCATTTGCCTGAAGAACTTCCTTTAACATTTCTTGTACTCCTAGGTCTGCTGGAAGCAAATTCTTTCAGTTTTTGTTAGTCTGATATAGTTCTCTCTCATTTTCAAAAGATGTTTTTGCTGGGTATGGAATTCTGGGTTGGCATTTTTTTTTCCCCCCAGCAATTTAAGAATGCTACTCAAAAAAAAAAAAAAAAAAAAGAATGCTACTCCATTGTCTTCTGGTTTATATAGTTTCTGACAAGAAGTCCACTGTAGCTGTTATCTAAATGCATTGTGTCTTTTTTCTTAGCTGCCTCCAAGAATATCTCTTGGCTTTTAATAGTTTGAATGATATGTGTAGATGCATGTGTGTGTTTTGGTATTTATCCTGCTTGGTGTTCTCTGTTGGTGTTCTCTGAGCTTCTTGGATCTGTGGTTTGGTATCTTAATTTTGGACCTATCTCTGTTGTTGGGAGGGTGTAATTTTTAAGCTGAGACCTGACAATGAGTAGGTCTTAGCCAGAAAAAGATTGAGAAGTGAGTTTCAGAAAAGATGGAAGAAATATCATGATTCATGGCCTACAGATAAGAGAGCCTCACATTAAAGCAAATAAAAAAGGGCTCCCTGCTCAGCGGGGAGCCTTCTTCTCCCTCTGCCCCTCCCCCCTCTCATGCTCGCTCTATCTCATTCTCTCTCTCAAATAAATAAATAAAATCTTTAAAAAAAAAAAAGCAAATAAAAAAGACCATTATAGTTAAGTAAAGAAGGGTGAATGGGAAGGTGCAGTAGATCAGACTGGACAGACAGGGGATACATTTTGGAAGACTGTGTAACACACATTAACCACTTATTCTTAGGGTAGACGTTGAAGGCTTTTAAGCAGAGGAGTGACATAATCAGATATAAATTCTTAAATTCCTAATTCATAATGGTCATCCTGCCTACTGAGTAGAGAGTATATTTGTACATCATGTCTTAGAGCCAAGGATCCACACATTTCCTTGGATAAAGTCTCAAGCTATGGGCTCCTCTTTTCCATCTTCCTTTGCTATACCTTCTATCACCTGCTACATACTTCCTAGCCTTCCTGCAAAATTTGGTCCATTCCTTTGAGTCTTGCTAAGTGTATATCAATATCCTCTTTTCTCCATACAGTTAAATTGTATTTACCAGTCTTCTTTATTATTAGATGTGGCCTGAGTGCTGGCCATTATGAGCAAAAGAATAAACTTTTTACTAAACCACTAAGACTTAGGGACAATTAGTTACAGCATTTAGCCTACTCTGACAAATACACAAAGCAACCAACTAATTACAAATAAACTATTTTTAGATGACTAGTAAATTCCTTAGGTTGATACATTATTTTGTTAAAATATTATATTTTATATAGAATGATAAGAATAGGTAAGTAAAAGTTTGTGTATTCTCCAACTCACACAACATTAAGGGCCACATACCTTACCAATCTACCTCTAGGAAGTCTCTGACAAAACTCCTGGGATTCATGTTCTTAATGAATATGCTGTGGAACAATAGAAAGTGCCTTGATTTTATAACAGAAGAACCAATATCTCCATTCCTCTGGTCCACGTGACCTCAGAAAAATTGTTGACCTCTTTGGTGTCCATGTTTTAATCTGTAAAAGCAGGAATAATATCAGTCTTCAAGGGTAAAGGGTTACACAGTAAGGATTAAGTGAGGCAATATCTCTGTAGTAGATCGCTATAATTTCACCCATATCTACAGCCTTTACCAAGTAGCTTTGCAACTGCTCTAACAAAAGGAATGGAGCACATTTCCCCACACCTTGGCACTGAGTTCATCCCTGTAGCTTCCTCTGGTGGGTCTATGAGTGTATGAGGACTCACATGTTCCTGTTTGCTCTCTTGTGCCTCTTCTACCACTTGAGGACATGTCTGGGTTAGCCTGTTGAAAGATAGGAGACATGGATCAGGGCTGAGTCACCCAAGTCACCTCAGCTTGAGGCCATCCTAGATCAACTGACAGCCAGCCCATGTCCAGCTCTGTGAGGAAGCCTAGCCAAGATTCACAGAGCCACCTAACAAACTCCAGACACGTGAGCAACACTTACTGTTGTATGGCAATGAGATTGCATGGGTCTTTGTTACATGTTACATTGTGGCCACAAATAACCGATAGTCTGTGAGATTAAATCCCCACAAATGCTAAAGCACTACACAAATGTAAAGTATTAAAGCTCAGGAAAATTATATATATTATATAATTATGTTTATATAATTATATATTTACATACCTTATATGTTTATTTGTATATTATATATAAATATAATATATATTTATGTAACATATATTATATATATAATTATATATATAAAATTTTCCTGAGCTTTAATGGTTATAATATATAATAGAGATTTTGTATATAAATTAAATATAATAATATATTAATATATATTAATTATATATAATTAAGTTGTATATAATTTATGTGTGTGTGTATATATATATATCCAAGGACTCTGTTGGTCTATGACATATTAGAGTCTATGAAAAAAATCTCCTTAAGTCCTTATTCAGAGAGTCATGGCATCAAAATTTGAGTTGGGCAGAACCTTGGAGATGGTCTAACCTACCCTTCTACGTATGTATGAGCCTCTTCTTTTCCCAGCCACATTGATTCTCTTTTTTGTGTACCAACAGACTTGTCTCCTTTAGCTCCTCTATGCTGGAACATCCTTACATCCTTCCCTCTCTCTAGAGGGACATCTGTCACTTATGCTCTGGTCGTGCTGGGATTTACAATTTTTCCAGATGCCTTCAACATGCAGCCACTTTACAAACTAAAAGTTGCTAATGCCGTATCATTTATCACATTTGCCTGCATATTGCATTAATCTTAAAGACCCAGCTTAATGCATACAAGGACACCCTCTCTGAATATGGAAGGGCTGGTCTTCAAAAGCTCATAAAATAAGTATCCTCCTGGATTTCCAAAGGAATGGAAAACCACAAGAATAAATTGGAAGAGAAATCAGGCAAGCTGTTTTTTATTTTCTAAAGGAAGGAAGAAATTATTTAGCCCGATTCGAAGTTCTTTCAGGCACCTCACACATAATTATCGTTGAACAAATGCTTATTATTCTTCTTAGCAATGAGGTAACCTGAGATGGACCTTTTCTTCCCTAAAAGGAATCAGGAGTACTTCCAAGTCCCATTTCTGCATCCTAAATGGTATCTTCACCTTAGCAGCTGAAGGATCTTTTTTTCTCTAACCTAGAAGAAGGCAGGAGGCAGAGTGCCTGTCTAGAAAAATGACAAATCAGACATGACATACATACAGACCTATTACTTCTGTCATATTTCTCCTCTTAACTTTTCTCAGCAATTAAGGTTTCCATGAGCCTCCCACTCCTTTTCAAATCCTGCTCGTGAGGCAGTTGTAATTAAATTCCCTTGATTTCCCAATGCTGCTTCTTTGTAAAATAACTTTATCTTAGAAAAGTTCTCTTTCTACATTTCCCCACACACCCTTTCCTGACTTGGACTCTGCTGGTGAACAAAATCTCTTCATTCCACTCTCTTTCATGCCTAAATTTAGGTCAAGCACTGCATCCTGCAGGAAATCCTCCCTGATCACCTACCCAAGCCTCATTTTGATGCCCTCTCTCTGGACTCCTATAACCCTCTTTATTACCCCTATCATATTTACCACGTGGTCTTATACTCATTGGTGTCCTTATTGTCTCCCACACTCGGCCTGCACACAGAGGACAGGGTCATGCCTTGATTGCCTTTCATCCGTGGAGCCAGACTTGCCAGTAGAATTCGGAAGGAAGAATACTGACCAGTTGCTTACGTACCCTCACAGCAACTATTTTCTTCCCCTTGATGGTATGCTCAATGTGCTGAAGCTCAAAGATTGCTTTTGTTCCTGCCTTGTTAGCATCACAAAGAGAATTTACCTGGAGATGAGCATCATGGAATCTTGTGAAATCATCAAATTATCAAATAGCTTTTGGGTACCTGGTCTGGGGGCATATTTATACAAAGCACTATGATGGGGGGTGAGGGGGCTGATACGGAAATATAAAACTAGGTCTCAGACAATAAGAAATATACTATCTAGTTGGAAATTTTTTTTTTGAGGGGGGGATGGGTGGGGCAGAGGAAAAGGGAGAGAGAGAATCTTAAGCAGGCTCCATGTCCAGCCCGGAGCCTGACATGGGGCTCGATCTCACCACCCTCAAGTCATGACCTGAGCTGAAATCAAGAGTTGAACAATTGAGGTTCCTGGGTGGCTCAGTTGGTTAGGTGTCTGAATCTTGATTTCAGCTCAGGTCATGATCTCGGGGTCCTGGGGTCAAGCTCCATGTCGGGCTCTGTGCTCAGCAGGGAGTCTGCGTGAGGACTCTCTCCCTCTCCTGGCGCCCCTCCCCCGACTTGTGCAAGCATGTGCTCTCTTTCTCTCTCTCTCTCAAAGAAATGAATACATCTTAAAAAAAAAAAAAGAGTCGGACACTTAACCAACTGAGCCACCCAGGCACCCCTATCTAGTTGGAGATTTAAATATATGCATATAAAACACTAACGTTCCATCAGAGTCTATGAGTGCAAATAAATTACATACACAGTAACAGCGTAACAGCGAGGGGAGAAATTCAGAGAGGGGGAGAGTGCAGGGAAAGGAGGATTTTGAGACAGCTTTACAAAAGAAGCTAGATTGGGCGCCTGGGTGGCTCAGTTGGTTAAGCGACTGCCTTCGGCTCAGGTCATGATCCTGGAGTCCCGGGATCAAGTCCCGCATCGGGCTCCCTGCTCGGCAGGGAGTCTGCTTCTCCCTCTGACCCTCCCCCCTCTCATGTGCTCTCTCTCTCTCATTCTCTCTCTCAGATAAATAAATAAAATCTTAAAAAAAAAAAAAACTTCAAAAGAAGCTAGATTTGGGTCTTGGAGGAGAGCGGGATCTCAGGAGAGGTGAGAGGGGAGGGTGCAGCCTTTGCAAGGAACAGCATACACAAAGGTATGGCAGGATCTGTGCAGTCTATTCAGATTTGGGGAATAAATGAGTAGACATGCCTGGCTAGGATGAAGGCCCTGTGATGAGGAATAATGGGAAATTAGCCAGACCAAATTATCTTGATTTGCCCCCCAATAAAAAGAACTGCCTAAGTCACCTACTTTGAAAAGGCCCCATCAAATCCATGTCCTGCACAGGAAATGTGCACTTAGTGGGGAATGTGCAGTGTTACCATAACTCAGACACCACCAATTACTCTTCAAGAACACCATGTTAACTCTTGGTTAACCAAAGGATATTTCCCTAGTCTGTGCCCTCCCTAACTCAACCAGCCAGTATGCACAGCACACCCACCGCGTCCTGCTCTCTGTACTAAACTCCCTAAATCAAAAATGAAGGAGACAGAATTCCTAACTTTGAAGAACGTATTTTTCGTCTTCTTTTCCTTCTTTCACACTTCCCTCTCTTCTACCATTTCCTAGGGACAGTATTCTTTTAAGGGTTCCATCAGACTCCAGACCTCCTGTAGCCTTCCCTCGTTAAAAACATTTTAAACATGCTTGTAGATTTAAAAAGAGAGGAAAGAAGAAAACAAGTCAGTAAATAATTTGGAGGTGAAAGGGTTAAATTTTGAGAGCCTTCCGTATAATGTTAGATCTTCAGCTATTCTCTCCTCAGTGGCTAAGAGTTGGCTCTATCTGCTAGCAAACTTCTTTTGCATCTCTCTCTGATGAGAAATAAGACATCTCTCTTCTTGTCTAAAGGAAGAGTTGAAATCGTGGCCATGCCAAGACAGCACGGTCCAACTCACCCTTCTGAGCCTGACTCCGACCAGCCCCCGAGCAAGCTCCAAAACGGCACAGCATGCCTGGAAAACCCTCCCTCTTCCCATGCCAGGCCATGTGTCTCCCATCATTCCTGAAATCCCACACACCCTGTGGTCCTTTAGGACTTCAGAGACAAATAATTAAATGCTTCCCCTCATCAGATACTGTCTGCTCATGAAAGGCTTTGGCCACTTTCCCTGACAGATCACCACCCCCATCCCAACACAGACTCTGAATTCTCCTTTGCTCCCCACCGGTAAACATATGCACCCTTGAACTGTACTTACTATGAATAGCCTACATTTGAACTCCTCCGTGGCATCCTAAACCTCTAAAACCCCTCTGTGGGCCCAATACCCTTGGGTTTGTTGGGATCTCAGGGGCCAGACCTGTTGGGGTTGTTCTCATTAGTGGACTGGGACAAGACTACACCAAACAAGGAATCACACCTGATTTTCTCACATAATTACAACTGCAAAAACCAACATTTCTAGAGCATTTATAAAATGCTACCATATCCAGGGCACCTGGGTGGCTCAGTTGTTAAGCATCTGCCTTTGGCTCATGTCATGGTCCCAGGGTCCTGGGATCGAGCCCCACATCAGGCTCCCTGCTGGGCAGGAAGCCTGCTTCTCCCTCTCCCACTCCCCCTGCTTGTGTTCCCTCTCTCACTGTCTCTCTCTCTGTCAAATAAATGAATAAAATCTTTTTTTAAAAAAATGCTTTCATATCCATGACCTGCTTTTTCTTCAACCTAACCCTATGAAGTAGGATTTCCTTGATCCTCTCTGAATAAGGAAATGGACGTTAAAGCTGGTGAAGTAACTTGCCTTTGGTCAAGCAATAAGGGTTGCTAGGAAATCCACTTAAGAAGAGCTCTATCTAGATCCTTCACCTGACACCATAAGACAAAATGGATTTCGGAGAGATTAAAGACTTAAAAAATAAAACTGTTAACAAAAGGAGAAAATGTAGTTGAAGATTTGCCTGATCTCTGGACAAAGAAAGATTTTTCAGGCATAAAAACGCTGGAAGAAGTCAAAAAAGGAAAAAAATATTCCATCCATCTACATAAAAATGTAGGTATTTCATATGTCCCA